TGGATGCCAGGAGGCTGGGCTGTGGGCTGGATGCCAGGATTAGAAACGTCTAAAGGTATCACTGCCTGTTTATACAGCAGTCCGTTAGCAATCTTGGCACTTATCACCGCGTTTTGAGCCAGGTGTTATTTTGAGTGCTGGCTCCTTCAGGTTTCAGCCCAGATATGTCCTCCTTAGCAGTGATCCCCTCATTTAACCAGCTCCCACTTTTTTTTTTTTTTGGTTAATCTTCACCTGAGGATTTCTCCCCCCATTGATTTTTAGAGAGAGTGGAAGGGAGTGGGAGAGACAGAGAGAGAGAAACATTGATGCGAGAGAGACACATGGGTTGGTTGCTTTTAACCTGGGGCCAGGGATGGAGCCTGCAACCAAGGTACATGCCCTTGACTGTAATCGAATCTGAGACCCTTCAGTCCATAGGCCTACACTCTAACCCCTGAGGACAACCAGCCAGCGCAGCCAGCCCCACTTTCTGTCACACTTTACAGAGCACTTGTCAGTACCAGGGAGGATGCTGAGTCTTTATGTCCTCAGTTGCTTTGTGCCCGTGTCTCCGCTCCCCAGGGTGTTCAGGGCCAGTCGTGACCCTTGTGGCATTTTCAGAGGTGGACCCTTGGGGGCATGAGGTTGGTGCTCAGACTAGAGCGGATGCGGGTGGAACCACTGTCCCCACCTGCAGCTAACACTCGCTGCTCAGGGCTCAAGGCCTCCTGAGCCTTTCAGATGATGCCTGGGCCACGTGGAGATCAGTGGACTGTCTGTTGTTCCTCTCCCCGCAGAACTGCAAGCCCAGTGAGGGAGGCAGCAGGCCATTTAGATGATGCCTGGGCCACGTGGAGATCAGTGGACTGTCGTTCCGCTCCCCGCAGAACTGCAAGCCCAATGAGGGAGGCAGCAGGCCTATCTCCTGGTGCCCTTTCAGAGAGAGCCTGGCACTCGAGGTGACCCACAAAGGTCTGAGGATGGAATGGGACCCGGAGATGTTAGGGCGCACACCGCGAGTGTCGGGTGCGACCAGCCTACTGCTTTCTCTCTGTCCAGGGCTGTTTCCCTCCCCTGGCAGAGCGCTGGGAACTGGAAGTGCACCGCCCACCACTGCTAGGGATGCTGGTCCCTCACAGCCTGCTCTGATCCTGCTCCAGAGTGCCTTTCTACACAGGATCCCACCGAAGTGGGAGTGACGTGCCAACCTCCTGAGGCCCTTTCTACACATGTGGGAAACTGAGGCTCAGAGAGATGAAGTGAACACCCCAGCACTGCAGCCTAGGAGAGGTGGGGCAGCCTTTGACCCCGGGGCCCCACTGCCGCTGGGGGCAGATGTGATGGGGATGAAGCAGATACACAGGGGAATCCGACTTCAGCTCAGTCTCCCTTCTTGGTTCATTTTACGGCGGCGTCTCTTAACCTCGCTCAATCCTATTTGCAGCTTCGGCCTCCAACGCTGATTCCAATCATCTCCGTCTCGCAGGCCTTTTCTCCAAGATCCCGGCGCTCCCTGTAGTGGGCAGCGATGCGGTGCTTGAAATAGCCATCTTCTCTTGGCTGCCCGCGCTCTCTCAGCATCCTGTGTCCCACACAAGCGCATCGCCCGCGCCAGCTCCCAGCCTCCTCCGGGCTCAGGGCAGGCTCTGCCCAGGCTTCCTGTTCCCTGCTGGCCCTCCCCCTCCCCCTCCCCCTCC